GACTGGGTGAAGAAGGACTGGAGCGAAGCTTGCTGCCACATGACTGAATGTCCAGTTCCTCTGACGGCGTAGAGTGATGTTTCAAATAGGTTTCTTTTCCTTCCTTTCGGGAGGTCAAGGCTGGAGAATTCTTCGCTGGAAGCCAGTTTTCGTAGGTTTCTTTCGCTTGGAACAACAAAACGCGACCGTACGATCGGGGACGAAATGGCTCAGCCTGGTATGGCATACCAGGGTAAACCAAGGGGAGTAAATAAAATGTTTTTGAAGCGAGGTTTGTTATCAGGGAGTTCTTTGCGAGCCTTTGGCGAGCAAGTAGAATACAGAAGAAGAAGAAGAAACTTATATTGCTTAGAAGCCGAAGCTTATCGCACACCTAACTACCCGACTACAACCTCCACCGACTAACCCGAAAGCAAAAACAAAGTACAAAAACTAACTACCGCAGCTACGAGAACTACGTACATAAGCAAAAGTAAACGACGCACGAAGAGGGAGCAAATAACAAGTGGTACAGGTGAGCAGAATCTAAGCGACAACAAAGAAACCTCCCCGTAGTAAGAATGAACCCCAAACTTCTCCGTCAACTACATAAGCGAGCACAATCCTAAACGTAGTGTTCAATCAAAACGATATCATTACCAACGTTCCCGATGTCATATCTGTGGACAAACCTTGACAGGACTGGGAAACCACGCGCACGAAGGCAGGAGAAGCCGACCGCAACAGCGTCAGGGTGGAAGCGAGGGGGGTGGTGTAAGAGTGGGTCCTCGGGCGTCTGGTTGTCAGGCAGCGAGGAATTGAGGAGTGGTGACCGGTAGATCAAGTAGGAATGGGTGGGGTCGTCGGTCCCTGCAGCAACGGCTAAACACTGTGCCCGAGTCGTAATTGAAGTGGTGTCCTCTGGAGGGGACATGCAAAAAGGGGTGAGCCGAAGGCTCAGTATGTATGGGGGTCGCAATCGAAAGTGTCGACCGTGTTGTATTGAGGGGTGGTCTCGGAGACCGGTTGGGTTGGGGTGAGGGGAGCGGGCCGCCTCGGTTAAAAAATGGGTGGCCTGGTTAACGCCGACAAAGAGGGGTAAGGTCACGGGACCTCAGGTAAAAATTTGACGATAGTTTCGCGACCGAGAGGTCGCTAACTTCGCGGGCTGTCGAGCGCTTTGGCAGTAGGTTCTCGCTGACTGAAGATTACTGACAGTGTGCGTACACGACGTGTGGGATCACTCCTGCGATGAGTGAAAATAAGAAGGGGCGAAGGCGGCTTTCGAGAGTAGCCGCTGGTTTGACGAGGGATGAACGGTGGACGCGTCCCATGAGGGCACCGATCGAACAAAGAATGGGGGGTGTCGAGCGAGGGAAGTTCAGGGACCGAAGCAATTCGAGAATCAGTATAACTCCATCTCGGGGGGAAGAAATCCTATCGCGAGCCAGAGGCGAGCGAGTAGAATGCAGAAGAAGAAGAAGAAACTTATATTGCTTTGAAGTACAAGACTTATCGCACGCCGACCCAACCGCCTAAAACACGAACCGAACAAAAGAAAGAAAGAAAGAAAAGAAAACCAACAAACGCAAACGCAAACGAACAAGAACAAAAACAAACGAACACAAACGGACACGAACAAAACGAGGAAATTCCAGAACAACACTCAACTGGAAAACCCAACGACAGGGAGAAATAACATATCTCAGCGGACTCGAGCGCTGGATCCATCAAAACAAAACAGATAAAAACAAAATTTAAAAGTTAAAAGGAAACCGCCCTTCCTAATCCCGTACCTAATCATTTTCTTCCATCCCCTCCTCCAGGTCCGCCTCCACCTCCGCCGACTCGTACCATTTCGAGAGTTGAGAATTTTTTGCAAATTGTAGGATGAGGTCCGTATTCAGGTTTGTAAACATCCAGTTTTCCCAGGTCATCGCTCCGGGGATCTTCTCTATCAGAGGGGCGCGGATTCGAGCCCACGCTGGGCATTCCATCAGTGCATGTTTCGCTGAGTTTTCCATACCACACTGGCATGGTTCGGGGTCTGTATGTACTGCGTGTTTGTCGATTCGGGTGGTTTGGCACCGGATTCGAAATACTTTTTTTACTGTTCCATTAAGGCATTGATTCTTTCCGTTTGTCCATCTGTTTGAGGGTGGAATGCGGTAGAGAATTTTGGTGATATTTCCAATCGATCACAAAGCGTCCTCCAGAATTCTGCAACGAACTGTGTTCCTCGATCGGATACCATAGTGTCGGGTAATCCATGTAGCTTCCAGACGTTATCAATATATAACCTTGCTACTTCCCGTGAATCCGCCTCCTTTGTCGTTGGTATCAGATGCCGCATTTTGGTTAGTCTATCTACCACAACCAAAATCGCATTATACCCATCACTCTCAGGAAGATCAGTCACAAAATCCATCGAGACATCTGTCCAGGGCCCATCGGGAATTGGCATGGGGCGAAGTACTCCATAAGGTGCATTGCGTGGTGCCTTGCTACGGGCACACACATTGCAATTCCTAACATACTGGTCGACATACTTTCTCATTTGTGGCCAGTAGTATTCTCGATTCAAAAGCTCTAGGGTCTTTGCTCTACCAGGATGTCCTGCTGATGGTTTATTACGGTGTTCTTTGAGAAGTCTTAGCCGAAGGTCGTTGACATCTGGTACATAGAGTGCGCCACGGTAAAGTAGCCGACCGTTGTTAGCTTCCGTGCATTCGGCAAGCGAGATCTTATTCGAGTGACGGACGCCGTTCCGAAGCATCGCGAGTACTTTATTCGGGAAACTGTCAACTTGGTAAGCATTTAAAAACAACTCTTCTACAGTGGACATTCCTTCAGCGGATTCATTTGAAAAAGAACCCGCGAACAAACTTAGCTTTGAATCCAAATTTTTTCGCTTCAAAACCACCTGGCTTTGATGCGTCAACCGTTCATCCCCCTCCTTAGGTAGGTCACCCGACCTCCTAGTCAATGCATCCGGCTTTGCCCCTTGTTTCCCTGGTCTAAATTGAATGACGAAATCAAAACGTGAAAGAAATTCCGACCAACGGGCTTGTCGACGGTTTAATAGCTTTGTTGACATGAAATATTCGAGGTTCCTATGATCGCTGAGGACTTCAATTGGGAATTGTGCCCCTTCCAAATGATGTCGCCATTCCTCAAAACATCGTACAATTGCCAGAAGTTCTTTGTCATAGATTTCATAGTTGCATTCCGCAGGGGAATGCTTCTTTGAGAAGAAAGCGACTGGATGTAGAATTCCTTCATCATCACGTTGGGACAGGATTGCAGCAGAAACATAGTCGGATGCATCGGTTTCTACTACGATTTTCCGATTCGGATCAAAGTGCGCTAATATGGGTGCCGTTGTGAACATCTTTTTCAATGTCTGGAATGCTTCCTCCCTTTCGTCTGTCCATTCGAACTTAACATTTTTCTTCGTCAAAGCCGTAAGTGGGGCAACAATCTTTGAGTATCCTAGGATAAACCGTCGATAGAAATTAGCGAATCCCAAAAATACCTGAACATCATGAAGGTTCTGCGGTGTAGACCACTCTAACACGTCGACAACCTTCTTCGGATCCATCCTATTCCCATCCGGAGTGAGAATATGACCGAGATACTTTGTTTCCTGAACCATAAATTCGCATTTCTCGGGTTTAAGATGGACATGATTCTCATCAAGTACCTTCAGAACTTTCTGAATATGCTCTTTGTGTTCCAATAGGGTCTCCGAATAAATCAAAATGTCATCCAGATATGCCGTTACAAATTGGTCAAGATAGGGACGTAGTATATCATTAATCCAATGTTGAAATGTGGCAGGGGCATTCGCTAATCCAAATGGCATTACTGTATACTCGAAATGTCCATATCGAGTTCTGAATGCCGTCTTCCATTCGTCCCCTTCTGCTACCCTAATCTGGTTATATCCCCATCGTAAATCCAGTTTGGTATAATATTGAGCCCTCGACAGCTTAGCCAAAGTTTCTTTCAACAACGGTAACGGATAGCGATTCTTGATCGTGATTGCATTAAGGCCTCTATAATCCACACAAAGCCGAAGGGTCCCATCACCTTTCTTTACGAATAGTATGGGTGCTCCCGCTGGCGACTCACTGGCTCGAATGAATCCCTTAGGTAGATTTTCATCAAGGTATTCTCGTAGTGCTTTCAATTCAACCTGGGATAATCCATATATCGGTCCGTACGGTGGTCGTTTACCTTCCTCCAATACGATCTCAATATCGTGTGATGGCCGATGTGGTGGAAGGACTGAAGCATCATATTCTTGGAACATATGGAGACGATGGTGGAACTCCTTTGGTACTAGTTGCTTGACGTCGACGGTGGATTTCTCAACTGCTGAAACGACAACAGTATGATGTTCCGGTAGAGGGATCGATATTCCATGGACAGTGACTGTCGTTCCACTGAGTGAACAGTGTTGACAACAGCTTTGAGAGTCAAAAACAAGTAATTTTTCCTTCGGCCGAATCATAACATCGTGACGTCGCATCCAAGGTATTCCCATCACAATTGGATAGTGTCCCAGCTTCGTGACAAAACATGATGCAGTTTCCCGATGACCATGGATATCCAGCGACACATTGACAATATGGGTGATCTTTCCTGATTCAATAGGCCTCCCATCCATAACATCTACCTGACGAGGTACCTTAAGGCGGGTCATTATGAGATTATTATGGCGTACAAAAGATTCGTCGATAAAAGCATATTCAGAGGCTCCGGTATCAATAAGGGCATAAGTGGGTATAAAAGAGTCAGGATTCTGAGAAACCGAGCAGGTAACGACAAGAGAGTCTTCGGACATCTCGTCCTCAGATACGGCAGCAGCGGAGACAGTGGAGACAACAGGGACAACAGGAACAGGTGGCGGGGCTAGCCCCTTTGGTTTGCCATTTTTTACCAAAGGGGCTGACCTTTTAGCGCCGGCTTTGGAGACACATGTTCAATTGGCCTTTCTCGCCAATTGCTAATGGTACGGGGATCTTGAGAGCGAGGAGATAAGTAACGAGATTTGGTGGAGGCATGGCGGCGTTGGGGTTTGACTGTGGCGGCAGAACCACGAGAACGAAGATCAGCGATGATGGCATTGGCTTGGGCCTCCCAGGCTTTTGCAACAGAGGTGATGTATAGAATCTCATCTTCAGCATCAGCGAGGTTCTCATCAGCGGTAGCGAGACTTTCCTGATGTAATGCCAGGCGATACCGAAGCTCCTCCTCTTCGGCCTTAGACTCCTCAAGCTCACCCTTCAGAGCAACGATAACTTCATCGCGGCCTCAGATAGTTTCGGTAGAGTCTTCCTGGCATTCGGACAAGGTTTGCAATAGATCGGCAGCCTTTTCGTCAGCTGCTTCGAGTTCCTTGGTGAGGCCAATAATGACCTCTTCTTGGACCGTGTCGATAACGGATTCCGGGATTTCGGAAGGCTTGATAAAAGCCTCCAAACATTCAGCAATAAGATTATGGGCCTCGGTAAGTTCATCACCGAAGTCTATATCTGCTGGGAGAGGACCATATGTGGTCAAAAATTCTGAAAGACGCTGCAGCAGCGTATCTTGAGTGATGTCGGACATGGTCGCGACCAGAGCTAAGCGAGGCGGTGTTGTATTGGTTGGCTGTAGAGGACGCAACCTAAGTATAACGGGGACAATGGGCGTAGGAACTATGAAGCCAAGGAATACAACCGAGGCGAAGACGTGGACGTAGGAGGTTCGTGGACTATAGACTATGGACTATGGGGCCGAAGGGTACACCTAAAGCAAGAACAGGGACTGTGGACTATGGACTATGGATGGTTGTACCTGGTCTAGTATACCGGGTAAACTCTATGACGTAGCGCGAACTAAATAGTATTCGTAACTGTAAAGTACAGAGGTTGCGTAAAGAAGAAAGGAAAGAAAAGAAAACAGAAGAAAGCCGAGACAACGCCCCTTTATATATCCAGACCTCAACCCACGATGACTCATCTTCTCGTGTAACAGAAATAAAAAGAACATAATAGAAACTCGCTTTAACAAATCCCACACACATTGCGCAATCCTTCCTTTACATACTCTGACACTCCGCATAATCAAAACGTATGGCTGCCGTTATAGGTGATCTCCGGCGCAGTGGCCGCATTTCCCATTATTCTTACATTTCTCTTGGCGGTGGCCGTATTCGAGGCACTTTGCACACTGGGTATCCGGGAAGGTTGGGAGGAAGGCCTCGATATGGCAGCTTCGGTTAAAGAGAGATAGGAATTTAACTCCTAGTGTTTCCATTGTGATTTGTCCTGGGAGCGCGATGACCATTCATGAGTGGGTTTTCTCCATTCGAGTTTCTGCCCTGGATATCCAGCGGGGGACCTGCGCAAGTTGGAAGTTCTCTCCATAGTTGCTTCTGATTTCTGATGCTACTAATTGTCCCGCCTCAATGCCCTCCCCGACCGTTGTGGGGATTCCATGGAGCAGAAACTTTGACCATTTAGAGTTTGCGCGGATCACAGCGACCGGTACCTGTAGGGTGAGGAGGGCCTCCTCAATTTCTTTGGCATATTCCATTGCCTTTGTTGCAGGGGTAACGAATTTTGTTTCCAGGATGAAGTTGTCCTTGGGTGTTCTTCTTGCCGAGATGAAATGGCAGGACTCGTCTTGGATTCTAGCATTGACAAGGGTCCTGATCTCGGAGGGGTTAACGTCGGATGGGGCAGTGGTTTCAACAATGATCTCCCTGTTGATTTTTGTGTACTCTGGTTTGAAGAGGGGGTCCGCTTTTGGCTTTGCGGACTTCTTTTTCCTCTCGATGACCTGGAAGTTTCCTTGGGCGGGACCGGGTGCTGAGGCCACGGCGGCTCAGGTGCCTGCCTTCAATCCACGAGGTGGGGCTTGTTGGGGGGGTGTGGGTGGGGGGGCCTGAGGAGCTGCCTGTGGCGCTGCTTGGGGAACTGTTTGTGGGACCGCTGGAGGGGACATTCTCTGTCCTTGCGGCTGTTGTGGTTTTCGCTGTTGTTGCTGTTGTTGCTGTTGTTGCGGTTGCTGCAGTTGCTGCGGTTGTGGTTGTTTGCTGAGGAGGGCGTGGATCGCCGAGTGCATATTGGTAATCATATTTGTCTGCGCCTCGATTTGGTGTTTCAGTGTGTCCACTGTTCTCCGGAGTGTAGTCGTTTGCTCTTCGAGGATTTCAATCCTGTCGGAGGGTGGGCAGATCCGGCTGGTGGCATGTCTAATGGCCCAGGTGATGTAGTTCAGGTCCGTCTGGGTGTGAGTGTCCTGGAGGACAACGCTCGGGTAGAGGTAGTCAATTCTCGGTTGGTATGAGTCGTTGTAGTCGGATTCTGTTGCAAAGGTCGAGGAGAATTCCGGTTCCTGAGTTCCGGATGGGGTTGGGTCGCAAACTGGAGTATTCCTGTTCTGCGGAGGGGCTGTCCCTTGTTGGGAAGACTGGGTAAAAAAGATCTGGAGCGATGCTTGCTGCGACATGATTGAATGTCCAGTTCTTCTGGCGGCGTAGAGTGATGTTTCGGAAAGGTTTCTTTTCCTTCCTTTCGGGAGGTCAAGGCTGGAGAATTCTTCACTGGAAGCCAGTTTTCGTAGGTTTCTTTCGCTTGGAACAACAAAACGCGACCGTACGATCGGGGGCGAAGTGGCTCAACCTGGTATGGTATACCAGGATAAACTGAGGGAAGTAAAAATAAAGTGTTTTAAAGCGAGGTTTGTTATCAGGGAGTTCTTTGCGAGCCTTAGCGAGCAAGTAGAATGCAGAAGAAGAAGAACAAGAAACTTATATTGCTTTGAAGTACAAGACTTATCGCACGCCGACCCGACCGCCTAAAACACGAACCGAAAAAGAAAGAAAAACAACAAACACAAACGCAAACGAACAAAACAAGAACAAAGCAAACGCAAACAAACACGAGCAATAACAGGAGAATTCCAGAACGACACTCAACCAGAAAACCCAACGACAAGGAAAGATAACATCTCTCAGCGGACTCGAGCGCTGGATCCATCAAAACAAAACAAAGTAAAACCAAAATTAACGAGTAAAAGGAAACTGCCCTTCCTAATCCCGTCCCTAATCATTTTCTTCCATCCCCTCTTCCAGGTCCGCCTCCGCCTCCGCCGACTCATGCCATTTCGAGAGTTGAGATTGTTTTGCAAATTGTAAGATGAGGTCCGTTCTCAGGTTTGTAAACATCCAGTTTTCCCAGGTCATCGCTCCGGGGATCTTTTCTATCAGAGGGGCACGGATTCGAGCCCACGCTGGGCATTCCATAAGTGTATATTTCGCTGAGTTTTCCATACCACACTGGCATGGTTCGGGGTCTGTATGTACTGCGTGTTTGTCGATTCGGGTGGTTTGGCACCGGATTCGAAATACTTTTTTTGCTTCCGTAAGGGTGAGTTTCGCTATCTTAGGAGGGGGGCGGAAGTCCCCCCGGTGGTGGTAGTTCGGTATTGATTGTGTGTTCCATTCTTCCAACAGGTGGTCGCGTAGTAGTTTGTTTTGGTTCCACTTGTCTCTCGCGTTGCTGGGGGTTTGATATGGGGGTAGTAGGGAGGCGATTCGGTGTAAGCCTGTTCCTTTGATATTTGCTTCTCTGTATGGGAGGAGCTCGATCAGGGATTCATTGTTGGGGTGGGTTGCATCGGTGCAGAGTATTCTGGTTCCGTACTTTCTTGAGCGATATGTCAAGAGATGTTCTAAGGGGGGTAGGCCTGCTTCTCGGAGGAGTTTAGCTCTTTTTGTCCATCGTGGTAGGCCGGTGATCATCCGGGCCGCTTCATTATATAGTGGTTCGAGAGATCTTATAATGTGGTCTGCGCCAGTCCACCACGCCTCGGACCCGTATTTCATGGATCGATCAGTGGAGGTACGGGGTTATGAAGAGTCGGATTAGTCAGAAAGGTTCTATTGGGTTCTACCGGGTTCTGTTGATCGTTGATGTATGAGTCATGTTGGGTTTGTGATCGCTGGGACTTCCTTGAGTATATTAAGGGGGGTGTTTGTTTGTATTTTGTGTTCTTCTTCTTCTCTCTTTACGCAACGTCTTCTGTATCTACGCTGTCTATTGCTATATAATACTCTCGTTCTCTTCGTTCCTCAAGAAGACCATCGCCTCGCTTTGTTCTCGTCCCCTTCAAACCTTACCGACGCTAGAGCCCCGTAGTACCCATATCGTGGAGCTCCTACACCGTCCCCTGCTACGCTCTTCGTGCCCTGTGGAATACTCGCTACTCACTCCCTTGAGATTACGTTGCGTCGTCATCCGCACCGTACGATATGTCCACCCCCGACCCACCTGCATGGAATGCACCCAAAGATGTAGAGGAATTCAGGCAGATGTATGAGGCCGGCCCTGCTGAACTATTCGACAACATCGCCACCCTCGTCCAGCGTGTCCGCCTCCAAAGGGACACCCTTCATGCACAACTCACCGCCGCCAACGAAACCATTGACAACCTCGAGGAGCAGATAAACCGGCTCAACCTCGACCTCAATGTCGCCCGCGCTGCTCCTGCCCCTACCGTCGCTGTCCCCGTTGCCCCCGCTCCTCCACCTGCTCCTGTCCCCGCCTTCAGGTCCGAAAAGTTTCCAGACCCTGAAAAATTCGATGGCACCCGTACCAAGCTCCCCGGATTCACTACCCAACTTCGAATGAAACTTGAAGTTAACCACGATCGGTTCCGGAACGAGGCAGCAAAGGTTATCTACGCCGTCAGCCGCTTGGAAGGAAGGGCCCTTGACCAAGTCGTCCCACTCGTTAACGCTAACCCTGCCGCCCCCTTCTCCTCTGTCACTGCCTTCGTCGCCCATTTGGAAGCCTCCTTTGGGGACCCAGACTCCCGGGGTACCACCCGTCGCCAACTCGTTGCCCTGAAGCAAGGCAAAGGGGACTTCGCTACCTATTATTCGCAGTTCCTCCGCATCGTGGCATACCTGGACTACAACGAGAGAGCCAAGATCGATGCCCTGGCCGAAGGACTGTCGGAAGACCTGAAGGATGCCGTGACATACCGGACAGATAGGCCTAACACCGTCGAAGCCTATGCCACCATTTTGATGACAATCGATAACCAGGTTCGGGGCCGCAAAGCTGAACAACGGGCAATTCGGAATACAATGGGACAATTCACCGCCCCCGCTGCTGTCGCACACCCATCTCATACCGCCGGAGGCCTCGCCTCAATGGACCTCTCTGCTCTCCAAAGCCGTCCCACTCAACGTCCTGCCATCGAACAACGATACACTTTTGTCAATGGACAACGCAAAACCTCTACCGCTGAAAAACAATGGCGAAGGGACAACAACCTCTGTATGTACTGTGCCAATCCCGGTCATGTCTTCGCCAACTGCCCCTCTGCCAATCGCCCGCGCGGTAACCAACCGGTAATGAGGGGCGCCCTCCTCGCACCCAGCCATACGGCCGTCGACCCCGCTGCTCCACCGGTCGCTAGTCCCGCCTCTTCTGGGTCGGGTTTTCAGTAGTCCCGGGGTTGATCAATGGCCCCTGCCCGGGACCTTCCAATGTCTCTCCTTTGTCTGCGTTTTCTATCTCTGGCTTCTCGGTATCGTCTGTGGAGGATAAATTGGATGGGGATCATTTTGTTGCTTCTTGTAAAATTATAAACAATAAAACACCCATTCAAACCCACGCACTGATCGATACCGGTTGCTCCGGATTCGCATTCATTGATGAAACATTTGCGCGCCATAACAACTTCCCACTTCTCCCCCTTAAATCGCCCCGCACTCTTGAAGTCATCGACGGTCGGCCCATATCTTCCGGACAAATTACCCACCTCTGCTATCTGCCGCTATCCATTGACTCCCACCATGAAACTACCCCTTTCTTCGTCACCAAACTCGGCTCGTATCCACTCTTCCTCGGAATCCCCTGGCTTCAATTGCACGACGCAACATTACGGTTTAAGAACAATAGCATACTGTTCGACTCCGAATACTGCAAACGCAAGTGCAACTCTTCCCCGATACCCGTTCCTATTAGAGGGGTTACACCACCGCCCCGTTTTCACCTCGTCAGTTCAGCTGCTCTTTGTCGCTTTGCTCGAAGAGACAAACTCCGAATCTTTAGTACAACTATTGAGGAAATAGATCAAGCAACGGGCGAGGCCCCTAAGCAAGACTGGAGGAACCGGGTCCCAACCCGGTATAAGAGATTTTATAAAATGATGGACGAAGAATTCGCTAACGGGATGCCGCCTCGCCGCCCCTATGATCATAAGATACCGCTCAAGGAAGGGAAAGAGCCCCCTTTTGGGCCACTTTATGGTATGTCCCGCGAGGAACTCATCGTGCTGAAACAATATATACAGGACAACCTTAAAAAGGGGTTCATTCAGGCCAGCTCTTCGCCTGCCGGTGCCCCTGTCCTATTTGTTAAAAAGGCCGATGGAACACTCCGCCTTTGTGTCGACTATCGTGGCCTCAACGAACTTACTGTCAAAAACCGCTACCCGCTACCACTCATCCGGGAAACTCTCGATCGCCTTTCCAAAGCCAAGTGGTACACCAAGCTTGATCTTCGCCAAGGGTACAATCAGATTCGAATGGCTGAGGGTGAGGAATGGAAAACAGCCTTCCGAACGCGTTACGGACATTTCGAATACACCGTAATGCCCTTCGGCCTTACCAATGCACCAGCCACCTTCCAACATTTTATTAATGATTGCGTCCGTGATTACCTTGACATGTTCTGTACAGCCTACCTTGACGATATCCTTATTTACAGCGACACCTTCGAGGAACAACAAGTACACGTCGAAAAAGTACTGGAAGCCCTACAAAAAAATGGAATACTGCTGAAACCGGAGAAATGCGAATTTCACACACAAAGCACCACCTATCTCGGCCTGATTATCGAACCCAATGGTATTAAAATGGACCCAAGGAAAGTGGAGACGGTGAAGAATTGGACCGTCCCCAAAACAGTTAAGGATGTACAAGCATTCCTAGGTTTCGCTAACTTTTACCGCCGATTCATACGCGGATTCTCTGAACTGGCTTCTCCTCTTACCAGACTGACACGTAAGGACACATCATTTGGATGGACACGCGAAGCCCAAACCGCCTTCAATGCCCTGAAAGAAGCCTTTACCACGGCGCCCATTCTCACTCATTTCGACCCGGAAAAGGAAATTACTGTGGAAACCGACGCATCTGACTATGTCTCCGCCGGTGTACTCTCCCAATACGATGACAATGGTATCCTCCGACCCGTTGCGTACTTCTCGAAAAAACACTCCCCCGCCGAATGCAACTACGAGATTTACGACAAGGAATTACTGGCAATCATTCGGTCTTTTGAAGAGTGGCGACCGGAACTTGAAGGGGCTGCACACCCAATCGCCGTCATATCCGATCATAAGAACCTCGAATACTTTATGAGTACTAAACAACTCAACCGGAGACAAGCACGGTGGGCAGAATACCTGTCACGATTTAATTTTGTTATCAAATACCGACCAGGGAAACAAGGAGGGAAACCGGACGCGTTGACAAGAAGATCAGGAGATCTCCCTGGAGAGGGGGATGAAAGACAATTGCATCAGAGTCAAGTTGTGTTGAAGAAGGAGAATCTTGATGCAAAGCTAAGTTTGTTGGCGGGTTCTTTCTCAAATGAGCCCGCTGAAAAGAACGCCTCACTGCAGGAATTATTTGATGAAGGATATAGCGCTGACCTGTTTCCCCAAAAAATACTGGATATGCGTAATAAAGGCGATCGACAATCAAAAGACATCTCACTCGCCGAATGCACCGAGGTTGAAGGCCGATTGCTTTACCGAGGCAGCATATATGTCCCTGATTACGACCCCCTTAAGCTTCGAATCCTCCAACTTTACCATGACGCTGCCTCTGCTGGACACCCGGGACGTGAAAAAACATTCGAACTCGTCAGTCGGGACTACTACTGGCCCCTCATGCGAAATTACATTGCCCGCTACGTTCGGAACTGTCACACCTGTCAACGAAGTAAACCCAACACCCATGGAAAACTCGGCATACTTCGACCTTTACCGATTCCCGAACAACCATGGCGGGAGGTATCGATGGACTTCATTACGGGCCTACCGGAAAGTGAAGGGTACGATGCAATTATGGTAGTGGTTGACCGGCTAACAAAGATGCGACATCTCCTGCCCTGCAATACTACTCTCAACTCCGAAGACGTCGCCCGACTATACCTGCGAAACATATGGAAGCTCCACGGGCTACCCACACACGTCACCTCCGACCGCGGTATGCAATTTACAGCTAAGTTTTGGAAGGCTCTTTGTAAACACCTCAACATCGAAGCAAGGATGTCCACCGCCTTCCACCCAGAGACCGACGGCCAAACCGAAAGGCTGAATGCTGTAATGGAGCAATATCTACGTGGGTATGTCTCTTATCAACAGGACGATTGGGTAAAATGGCTTCCTATGGCAGAATTCTCCGCCAACAATCAGGTCTCCGCATCCACCAAAGCTACACCATTCTTCGCGAACTATGGGTTCCACCCCCGGTTTACAGTGACGATCAAATCGTTGGACAAGACCCCACCGAGTCTTAACGCTAAGGACTTCGCCTCGAAGATGAAAGAACTCCACGAGCACCTACGTTCCAATATCCGTACAGCGCAGGATCAACAAGAGCAGGCCGTCAATACTAAACGAACGCCGGCCCCACAGTACGATGTCGGTGATATGGTGTTTGTTTCAGCAAAAAACATCCGAACCACGCGTAACTCCCGGAAACTGGACTGGAAGAAACTGGGACCGTTCCCCGTTAAGGAAATTATATCGCCATATGCGTATCGAGTCGACCTGCCTAGGAGTATGAAGATGCACCCCGTCTTTCATGTGTCATTGCTGGACCCCGCTGCGAATGATCCTGTCCCAGGGCAAATTCAACCACCACCCCCGCCCATTATCGTCGAACAAGAGGAGGAGTATGCAGTTGAGGAAATCTTGGACTCGCGAGAATTACGAAACACTGGCCTACAATACTTTGTTAAGTGGATGGGCTATACCGACCCTACCTGGGAACCCGCCGCATACCACGATAATACCGCCGCCGTTGATATCTTCCATATACGCTACCCCGACAAACCTGGACCATTGGAAGGAAGGATTAAGATTAAGGCTCGCAGGAGCTCGCGCTTGAAGGGAGGGGCTACTTTCATGGATCGATCAGTGGAGGTACGGGGTTATGAAGAGTCGGATTAGTCAAAAAGGTTCTATTGGGTTCTACCGGGTTCTGTTGATCGTTGATGTATGAGTCATGTTGGGTTTGTCATCGCTGGGACTTCCTTGAGTATATTAAGGGGGGTGTTTGTTTGTATTTTGTGTTCTTCTTCTTCTCTCTTTACGCAACGTCTTCTGTATCTACGCTGTCTATTGCTATATAATACTCTCGTTCTCTTCGTTCCTCAAGAAGACCATCGCCTCGCTTTGTTCTCGTCCCCTTCAAACCTTACCGACGCTAGAGCCACGTAGTACCCATATCGTGGAGCTCCCACACCGTCCCCTGCTACGCTCTTCGTGCCCTGCGGAATACTCGCTACTCACTCCCTTGAGACCGTAGAGTAGACTTGGGAGGAAGCTTTGTGTTATGATGTGATGGATCGTTTTAACCGTTATGCCTGGTAGGCGGGCGGTGTATCGAATCTGGTGGAGGGCTTTAAGGCCTTTTGCAATCGCTGCTTCGATGTGGGGCCGGAAGGAGAGGGTCAGGTCTATGCAGACTCCTACATATTTCAGCCTCTCCTTGGGGTGTATATTGATATTGTTAATTTTGACCGGAAGTCGTGGTTGTTGTGTCGATGATGTGGTAGGCCGGAAGAAGATCAGGTCGGATTTATCCGGGTCGTATTTAATTTGGAGTGGCTCAGCTTTTATTAGTCTCTCTCTCATTCGTTCCTCCATTCTCTTGATTGTGAAGCCTGGTGTTTTGGATATTTGCACCAGCGCATCGTCATCGATATATGTGGTGTCCATCTCTTTCGGGCTGCTTGTTGGGTCCAGGATTACTCCAGCATAGATCATAAATAGTACCGGGGACATGGGGCTTCCTTGCGGCACTCCAGAATCATAGGGCTGTGGTTCTTCTAGCTCATGGTTAAATTGGAACTGTAGTTTTCTGCCGGTATTGAATTCCTTGCACCATTCTGTTAAGTAGGTGGGGAATTTTTGTTGGTGCATGATTTCCGCGAGGAGTAGGTGGTCGACGCAGTTAAATGCTCCTTGGATATCGTTGGTTAGGATCGCTGGTCTGTCTTGCCGAGCGATTCCGGTACTGTTTTTCAGTAGTAAGTTTTGTTGTATTGGTGTCAAGGTTCTCAGGAGAGCGTCGATTGCCGAGATGGTTGGTCTTCCTCCAAATTGATTCGCTGAAAGTGTGCCTAGGATTTCTCCAGCGGTGCATAGTCTCTGAGCCACTATCTTCTCCAGGATTTTGCTAAAGCATTGTAGAAGGGAAATAGGCGGATAGGCTTTTGCTTCATGATAGTTTGCTTTGCCGGGTTTCGGGATCGGGATGCACTTAGCTATTTTCCATTCCGCTGGGTGTACTCCGTGCCGGAGCATGGCGGAGAACATGTCTTGGATTAGAGTTGTATTTACTCTGACTATCGCTTTAATAAAGGTATAGGGGATGCCGTCCGGACCGGTCGCCGAATGCGCTGGACAGGAGTCGATTGCTTTATTAAGTTCTTCGGGGGTGACTATGTCGAAGGTGTTGCTAAGGTCAAAAGAAGGGGGTCTAATGTTTAGGGGGGAATGGTCGGGGGACGTCCATTTCGAGGGGAACAGTTGGGCTCTTAGAGCTTGACACTTCCCCGCAAACGTTTCGTCACCTTGTATGGTTGGTATAATTGTGTCTCTTCTCCTTCCTGCGTTTAGGATTCTCCAGACTTCACTACCTTTCGCCTCGTTCATCGTCTTTTCCCGCTGGTCCGCTTTTGCTTTCCGGATCATGACTGTCCATTCTCTGCATGCCTTCCGGTGTTCCTCCACGTGGTTGGGTTTCTTTGTATTTCTCGCCTTCCTTTCTGCCGCGTTTACCCTTGCCTTCATTTGTTTCATTTCCTCTGTCTACTAGGAGTTGGCTCTTACTCCTTCCTTCGAGAGTGGTGTTACTATACTGATTGTTGCCCTGACCAGTTCTAGGAAGAAGTCGACAGTTTGTTCCGTATGTTCCTTAGTTTCCCATGCCTCTGCAGGGAGGGAAATGTTTGACATGTGGTTCTCCAATAGCTTCCAGTCTGTTTGTCGCCACATCCGTCTTGGTACGAATGGTGGTTTTTCCAAGTGTAAGTGAACGGAGGTTCTCCCGTGGTCTGAGCCCGCTCCATAGGGTTCAGTGCTCCATCGTAGGTTGTGGTCGAGAGTTGGGCCTTTTACAAATATAAGGTCGATGATTGTAGGCCTTTTTCCTCTGTCTCTGGGGAAGTGCGTGAAGGTGCCTGGTTTGTTCAGGAGGGTCAGTTTCTGTCAAGGTATCCATTGTTTTAGCCGTGCACCGTTGGCGCGGTCTGCTCGGATGTTGTTCTTGTATTCATATGATGTTACTCCGTACCACATTTGATGATGGCAGTTGAAGTCTCCCATTACTAGACAGTTATCAAGGGTTTGGATAGTTTTTGCTATTTGGGCAAAGGGGCCACTTCGGCCTGGGGAGTATATATTCAGGATTTGGGTTTTCTTGTTCTGGATTTCTACCGTAATCGATACTATGAAATTATCGTATGTGTAGTGGTGTTTTGGTTTGAGATTGGCATGTTTGCGGACGTATGTTGCGCATTTTGAATTGGTGTTGCTGGCTGTATAGATATAAAAGAGATTTGATTCTGGTGGGTATCCTTCTGCTGAGGTCCATGGTTCTTGTAATAATAGGAAATAAATACTGGAGTCTGTTTCCGCTTCCTCTACCGTCACCTTGGTAATAAGTTCGCTCCGTGCACAATTGAGTTGGTGTGCGAGCGCGGTGGTTCGGGGCCTAGGCATTATTCGTCATGTGTTGGTCATCTTCGGGAACGGGTGTGGCTCCGACCGGGGCGGTGGCTGGTACTTGTACGATTGGGAGCAGCTCTTGGACGGGTGCGGCCGGTGGGTCTTGAGCGGGTGGGGCGTTTTCCTTTCCTTTATTGAGGAAACGGCGTTTGGCCCTTTCGGGGCATGCTGGGTCGGAGGCCTTATGAGCTCCTTTACAGTTCAGGCATCTAATTGGGGTGTGGGTGCATCTATATCCTCCCTGGCATTCATTGCATGGGTGGAAACTGGTGAGGTGATCTCCGGCGCAGTGGCCGCATTTCCCGTTGTTCTTACATTTCTCCTGGCGATGGCAGTATTCGAGGCACTTCGCACACTGGGTGTCCGGGAAGGTTGGAAGGAAGGCCTCGATGTGACAGCTTCGGTAAAAAGAGAGATAGAAATTTAACTCCTAGTGTTTCCATTGTAATTTGTCCTGGGAGCGCGATGACCATTGATGAGTGGGTTTTCTCCATTCGAGTCTCTGCTCTGGAGATCTAGCGGGGAACCTGGGCAAGTTGGAAGTTCTCTCCATAGTTGCTTCTGATTTCTGATGCTACTAATTATCCCGCCTCGATGCCCTCCCCGGCCGTTGTGGGGATTCCATGGAGGAGGAGCTTTGACCATTTGGAGTTTGCGCGGATGACGGCGACTGGTACTTGTAGGGTGAGGAGGGCCTCCTCAATTTCTTTGGCATATTCCATTGCCTTTGTTGCAGGGGTAACGAATTTTGTTTCCAGGATGAAGTTGTCCTTGGGTGTTCTTCTTGCTGAAATAAAGTGGCAGGACTCGTCCTGGATTCTTGCATTGATCAGGGTCCTGATCTCGGAGGGGTTGACGTCCGATGGGGCAGTGGTTTCAACAATGATCTTCCTGTTGATTTTAGTGTACTCTGGTTTGAAGAGGGGGTCCGCTTTTGGCTTCGCGGGCTTCTTTCTTTTCTCGACAACCTGGAAATTTCCTTGGGCGGGACCGGGTGCTGAGGCCACGGCGGCCCAAGTGCCTGCCTTCCATCCACGGGGTGGGGCTTGTTGGGGAGGTGCGGGTGGGGGGGCCTGAGGAGCTGCCTGTGGCGCTGCTTGGGGAACTGTTTGGGGGACCGCTGGAGGGGGCATTCTCTGTCCTTGCGGTTGTTGTGGTTTTCGCTGTTGTTGCTGTTGTTGCTGTTGTTGCGGTTGCTGCAGTTCCTGCGGTTGTGGTTGTTTGTTGAGGAGCGCGTGGATCGCCGAATGCATATTGGTGATCATGTTCGTCTGCGCCTCGATTTGATGTTTCAGTGTATCCACTGTTCTCCGGAGTATGGTTGTTTGCTCTTCGAGGATTTCAATCCTGTCGGAGGGTGGGCAGATCCGGCTGGTGGCATGTCTAATGGCCCAGGTAATTTAGTTCAGGTCCGTCTGGGTGTGAGTGTCCTGGGGAACAATGCTTGGGTAGAGGTAGTCAACTCTCGGTTGGTATGGGTCGTTGTAGTCGGATTCTGTTGCAAAGGTCGAGGAAAATTCCTGTTCCTGAGCTCCGGACGGGGTTGGGTCGGGAACCTGGGTATTCCTGTTCTGCGAGGGGGCTGTCCCTTGCTGGGAAGACTGGGTAAAAAAGGACTGAAGCGAAGCTTGCTGCGACATGACTGAATGTCCAGTTCTTCTGGCAGCGTATAGTGATGTTTCAGATAGGTTTCTTTTCCTTCCCTTCGGGAGGTCAAGGCTGGAGAATTCTTCGCTAGAAGCCAGTTTTCGTAGGTTTCTTTTCGCTTGGAACAACAAAACGCGACCGTACGATCGGGGACGAAGTGGCTCAACCTGGTATGGTATACCAGGGTAAACCGAGGGGAATAAAATAAAGTGTTTTTAAAGCGAGGTTTGTTATCAGGGAGTTCTTTGCGAGCTTTAGCGAGCAAGTAGAATGCAGAAGAAGAAGAAGAAGAAACTTATATTGCTTTGAAGTACAAGACTTATCGCACACCGACCCGACCGCCTAAAACACGAACCAAACAAAAGAACGAAAGGAAAGAAAAACAACAAACACAAACAAACAAACACGAACAGAAACGAACACGAACGAACATCAACAAGAATAAGGAAATTCCGGAACGACACTCAACCAGAAACAACCCAACGACAAGGAGAAATAACATATCTCAGCGAACTCGGGCGCTGGATCCATCAAAACGAAGTAAAACCAAAGTTAAAAAGGTACAAAGGAAACCACCCTTTCCTAATCCCGTCCTTAATCATTTTCTTCCATCCCCTCTTCTAGGTCCGCCACCGCTTCCGCCGACTCGTACCACTTCGAGAGTTGAGAGTTTTTTGCAAATTGTAAGATAAGGTCCGTTTTCAGGTTTGTAAACATCCAGTTTTCCCAGGTCATCGCTCCGGGGATCTTCTCTATCAGGGGGGTACGGATTCGGGCCCACGCCGGGCATTCCATAAGTGTATGTTTCGCTGAGTTTTCCATACCACACTGGCATGGCTCGGGGTCTGTATGTGCTGCATGTTTATCGATTCGGGTGGTTTGACATCGGATTCGAAATACCTTTTTCGCTTCTGTAAGGGTGAGTTTCGCAATCTTTGGAGGGGGGCGGAGTTCCCCCCGGTGGTGGTAGTTCGGTATTGATTGTGTGTTCCATTCTTCCAACAGGTGGTCACGTAGTAGTTTATTTTGGTTCCACTTATCTCTCGCATTTCCGGGGGTCTGGTATGGGAGTAGTAGGGAAGCGATTCGGTGTAGGCCTGTTCCTTTGATATTTGCTTCTTTGTAAGGGAGGAGCTCGATCAGGGATTCATTGTTGGGGTGGGTTGCCTCGGAGCAGAGTATTCTGGTTCCGTACTTTCTTGAGCGATATGTCAGGAGGTGTTCTAAGGGGGGTAGGCCTGCTTCTCGGAGGAGTTTAGCTCTTTTGGTCCATCGTGGTAGGCCGGTGATGATCCGGGCCGCTTCATTATATAGTGGTTCGAGGGATCTTATAATGTGGTCTGCGCCGGTCCACCAAGCCTCGGATCCGTAGAGTAGGCTTGGGAGGAAGCCTTGTGTTATGATATGATGGATTGTTTTGACCGTTATGCCTGGCAAGCGGGCTGTGTATCGAATCTGGTGGAGGGCTTTAAGGCCTTTTGCGATCGCTGCTTCGATGTGGGGCCGGAAGGAGAGGGTCGGATCTATCCAGACTCCTACATATTTCAGTCTTTCCTTGGGGTGTATATTGATATTGTTAACTTTGACCGGAAGTCGTGGTTGTTGTGTGGATGATGTGGTGGGCCGGAAGAAGATCAGATCGGATTTATCCGGGTCGTATTTAATTTGGAGTGGTTCAGCTTTTATTAGTCTCTCCCTCATTCGTTCCTCCATTCTCTTGATTGTGAAGCCTGGTGTTTTGGATATTTGTACCAGTGCGTCGTCATCGATGTAAGTAGTGTCCATCTCTTTCGGGCTGCTTGTTGGGTCCAGGATTACTCCAGCATAGATCATAAATAGCACCGGGGACATGGGGCTACCTTGCGGCACTCCGGAATCATAGGGCTGTGGCTCTTCTAGCTCGTGGTTGAATTGAAACTGTAGTTTTCTGCCGGTATTGAATTCCTTGCACCATTCTGTTAAATAGGTAGGGAATTTTTGTTGTTGCATGATTTCCGCGAGGAGTAGGTGGTCGACGCAGTTAAATGCTCCTTGGATATCATTGGTTAGGATCGCTGGTCTGTCTCGCCGAGCTACTCCGGTACTGTTTTTCAGTAGTAGGTTCTGTTGTATTGGCGTTAAGGTTCTCAGCAGGGCGTCGATTGCCGAGATGGTTGGTCTTCCTCCAAATTGATTCGCTGAGAGTGTGCCTAGAATTTCTCCAGCGGTGCAGAGTCTTTGGGCCACTATCTTCTCCAGGATTTTGCTGAAGCATTGTAGAAGGGAAATGGGCCGGTAGGCTTTTGCTTCATGATAGTTTGCTTTACCGGGTTTCGGGATCGGGATACACTTAGCTATTTTCCATTCCGCTGGGTGTACGCCGTGCCGGAGCATGGCGGAGAACATGTCTTGGATTAGAGTTGTGTTTGCTTTGACTATTGCTTTAATAAAGGTATAAGGAATGCCATCCGGGCCGGTCGCCGAGTGCGCTGGACAGGAGTCGATAGCTTTATTAAGTTCTTCGGGGGTGACTATGTCGAAGGTGTTGCTAAGGTCAAAAGAGGGGGGTCTAATGTTTAGGGGGGGGTGGTCGGGGGACGTCCGTTTCGAGGGGAAAAGTTGGGCTCTTAGAGCTTGACACTTCCCCGCAAACGTTTCTTCACCTTGTATGGTTGGTATGATTGTGTCTCTTCTTCTTCCTACGTTTAGGATTCTCCAGACTTCACTACCTTTCGCCTCGTTCATCGTCTTTTCCCGCTGGTCCGCTTTTGCTTTCCGGATCATGACTGTCCATTCTCTGCAAGCCTTCCGGTGTTCCTCCACGTGATTGGGTTTCCTTGTGTTCCTCGCCTTCCTTTCTGCTGCATTTACCTTTGCCTTCATTTGTTTCATTTCATCTGACCACCAGGAGTTGGCTCTTACCCCCTCCTTCGAGAGCGGTGTTACTATGCTGACTGTTGACCTGACCAGTTCTAGAAAGAAATCAACAGTCTGTTCCGTAAGTTCCTTGGTTTCCCATGCCTCTGCAGGGATGGAAATGTTTGACATGTGGTTTTCCAATAGCTTCCAGTCTGTTTGTCGCCACATTCGTCTTGGTACAAAAGGTGGTTTCTCCAAGTGTAGGTGAACGGAGGTTCTCCCGTGGTCTGAGCCCGCTCCGTAGGGTTCAGTGCTCCATCGTAGATTGTGGTCAAGTGTTGGGCCTTTTACAAATGCAAGGTCGATGGTTGTGGGCCTTTTCCCTCTGTCTCTGGGGAAGTGTGTAAAGATGCCTGGTTCGTTCAGGAGGGACAGTTTCTGTCGGGTTATCCACCGTTTTAGTCGAGCACCATTAACGCGGTCTGCTCGAATATTGTTTCTGTATTCATGTGAATTTACTCCGTACCACATTTGATGGTGGCAGTTGAAGTCTCCCATTACTAGACAATTATCAAGGGTTTGGATTGTACTTGCTATCTGAGCGAAGGGGCCACTTCGGCCTGGGGAGTATATGTTTAGGATTTGGGTTTTCTTGTTCTGGATTTCTACCGTAATCGATACTATGAAATTATCGTGTGTGTAGTGGTGTTTTGGTTTGAGGTTGGCATGTTTGCGGACGTATGTTGCGCATTTTGTGTTGGTATTGCTGGCTGTAAAAATATAAAAGAGGTTCGATTCTGGTGGGTATCCCTCTGCTGAGGTCCATGGTTCTTGTAATAATAGGAAATAAATACTAGAGTCTGATTCCGCTTCTTCTACCGCCGCCTTGGTAATGAGTTCGCTCCGTGCACAATTGAGTTGGTGTGCGAGCGCGGTGGTTCGAGACCTAAGCATTATTTGTCATGGGTTGGTCATCTTCGGGAACGGGTGTAGCTCCGACTGGGGCGGTGGCTGGTACTTGAACTATCGACTCTTGGACGGGTGCGGCCGGTGGGTCTTGAGCGGGTGGGGCGTTTTCTTTTCCTTTGTTAAGGAATCGGCGTTTGACTCTTTCGGGGCATGCTGGGTCGGAGGCCTTATGGATTCCTTTGCAGTTCAGGCATCTGATTGGGGTGTGGGTGCATCTATATCCTCCCTGGCATTGATTGCATGGGTGGAAGCTGGTGAGATGGTCTCCGGCACAGTGACCGCATCTCCCGTTGTTTTTGCATTTCTCCTGGCGGTGACCGTATTCGAGGCACTTCGCGCATTGGGTGTCTGGGAAGGTTGGGAGGAAGGCCTCGATGTGGCAGCTTCGGTTAAAGAGGGATAGGAACTTAACTCCTAGTGTTTCCATTGTGACTTGTCCTGGGAGCGCGATGACCATTGATGAGTGGGTTTTCTCCATTCGAGTCTCTGCTCTGGAGATCCAGCGGGGAACCTGGGCAAGTTGGAAGTTATCTCCATAATTGCTTCTAATTTCGGATGCTACCAGTTGTCCTGCCTCGACGCCTTCTCCGACCGTTGTGGGGATTCCGTGAATAAGGAACTTTGACCATTTGGAGTTTGCCCGGATAATGGCGACTGGTACTTGTAGGGTGAGGAGAGCCTCCTCAATTTCTTTGGCATACTCCATTGCCTTTGTTGCTGGGGTGACAAACTTTGTTTCCAGGATGAAGTTGTCCTTGGGTGTTCTCCTTGCTGAAATAAAGTGGCAGGATTCGTCCTGAATTCTTGCATTAACTAGGGTCCTGATCTCGGAGGGATTAACGTCGGATGGGGCAGTGGTTTCAACAATGATTTCTCTGTTGATTTTAGTATATTCTGGCTTGAAGAGAGGGTCCGCTTTTGGCTTTGCGGGCTTCTTCCTTCTCTCCACAACCTGGAAATTTCCTTGAGCGGGACCGGGTGCCGAGGCCACGGCGGCCCAGGTGCCTGCTTTCCATCCACGGGGTGGGGCTTGTTGGGGGGGTGCGGGTGGGGGGGCCTGAGGAGCTGCCTGAGGCGCTGCTTGGGGAATTATTTGGGGGACCACTGGAGGGGGCATTCTCTGTCCCTGCGGTTGTTGTTTTCGCTGTTGTTGCTGTTGATGCTGTTGTTGGTTTTGTTGTGGTTGTTGCGGTTGCTGCGGTTGTGGTTGTTTGTTGAGGAGAAGATGGATCGCCGAGTGCATACTGGTGATCATGGTTGTCTGCGCCTCGATTTGGTGCCTCAGTGTATCCACTGTTCTCCGGAGTGTGGTTGTTTGCTCTTCGAGGATTTCAATCCTGTCGGTGGGTGGGCAGATTCGGCTGGTGGCATGTCTAATGGCCCAGGTAATGTAGTTCAGGTCCGTCTGGGTGTGAGTGTCCTGGGGAACGATGCTCGGATAGAGGTAGTCAATTCTCGGTTGGTATGGGTCGTTGTAGTCGGATTCTGTTGCAAAGGTCGAGGAGAACTCCTGTTCCTGAGCTCCGGATGGGGTTGGGTCGGGAACCTGGGTATTCCTGTTCTGCGAGGGGGCTGTCCCTTGCTGGGAAGACTGGGTAAAAAAGGACTGAAGCGAAGCTTGCTGCGACATGACTGAATGTCCAGTTCTTCTGGCAGCGTATAGTGATGTTTCAGATAGGTTTCTTTTCCTTCCCTTCGGGAGGTCAAGGCTGGAGAATTCTTCGCTAGAAGCCAGTTTTCGTAGGTTTCTTTTCGCTTGGAACAACAAAACGCGACCGTACGATCGGGGACGAAGTGGCTCAACCTGGTATGGTATACCAGGGTAAACCGAGGGGAATAAAATAAAGTGTTTTTAAAGCGAGGTTTGTTATCAGGGAGTTCTTTGCGAGCTTTAGCGAGCAAGTAGAATGCAGAGGTTGCGTAAAGAAAGAAGGAAAGAGAGAAAACAGGTATAAGCACGAGACAACGCCCCCTTATATATCCAACCATAGTCCGATAATGACTAATACCTCCGCGTAACAGAAACTAAAAGAACAGAACAGAAATCCCTATTACAAATACTAATCCCACTACACAATACCTCCTCTTCTCATTCCAATTTATCACCTAGCCGAAATGAATAGCTGCCATTACAGATTATATTAGATTTGCTACATCCTTCGGTCAAAATGAAATACATCAATGTGAACTTGGTGGTGGTTGAAACCTGGTTGTGGGTAGTTAGGGTTACAAGCGTTGAAACTTAGTATAGCGGTGACCTGGAGTACAGAACCTGAGAGCGTAAGAAAACACAGCGGAGACAAGAAGTGGGATTCACCCAATGCGGTAACCCGGAGTTCAGAATCCGAAATTTATGTATTCCATCGAAGCAGAGGATGGGGAAACGTGGTATCATTGAATTTCATGCACCATCATGATTGTGGGCTCGAGATTGTGCGTTCAGTGACATGCAATCATCGATTGTTGTACCCGTCCAGTGAGTGGCGGTGCCGGAATTGAACTAAAAGGGGTTGCCAAGACTCACAGTGAGTTACCCTACTCAACAGCCCCCAACCACCACCTCCGCCCCCGCAATCACAACTACGACCCCCTGTACGCGTATACCTGATGATGGGAATGGACTCGGATCATCGTGTTCAATCCATAGCCACAGAGCCCGGAATTGTGGGGCGACGGTTCCCGGGCAACCTCAAAATCCTGTCCAACATTGCCCTACTAGAGATGACGATAATCAAAGGGCAAAAGCATAACTACCCAACATTGGACAAAGATTAAAGCGGGTTCATGACTATCAGGACAATGCGGAAGAGAATTGGAAGCCCTCGGCACCGTTCAAAGACGCGGCGGAATGGAGATTGGCTCATTTCTTTATCGAGCACAAGCTGACATCTACCTCAATTAACACCTACTTCCATGAGGGGTTGCATAAGATGATAAAGAACGAGCGTTCCTTTCAGTCTGCTTATTCTTTCCAGAAACAGCTCGCCAAAATGACGGGCTCCCCACCTAACTTTCAATACGGGACCATCGGGGACGGCTTTGGAAGAACAACCGACTTATATTACAGGAATCCGGTCGAATGCGCGAGGTATCTCTTGGGTCAACGTTGTTACAAGTCGAGCATGATTTATCGCCCGGAGAGGGTTTACGACGTGGACGGATATCAACTTTATTCCGAGATGCATACAGTGGACTGGTGGTGGAATATGCAGGAAAGTCTTCTTACTAGGGTCACGATTGTCCCAATTATCTGCAGCTCCGGCATCACTCATCTGACAAACTTCTTCGGAGACAAGAAGACCTGGCCGATATATATGACGATAGGCAATATACTGGGAAAAGTACGATTCAAGCCGTCGACCAATGTGTATTTGCTACTCGCACTATTGCCAATACCTACTAAAATAATTGGCAACACGACATCAAAGGAGAGACTCCGGTCCTGGATGGCGGAGATGCTGAGGAGAGTCATGTCAGTTATATTGGAGCCTCTGCTGCACTTTTACCAAAGGCTCGGCGTCTTAATGGGCTGCTCAGACGGGTACGAGAGACGTTCTTGGCCGATTCTGACGGCATGGCTTTCGGACCACATGGAGAGCTGCAATATTCTGAATAACAAGTTCAACTTGTGCCCCAAGTGCGAGATACCCGTCAATAGACTGGGCGAATACGAAGCCGAACTGCTCAAGACCTACCCTCATGATCAGAATCAATACAAGAGAATGTATCATTAGTACAGGGTGCTGAAGGTACTGGAGGATGCGACAAGAGACGAAAGGTGGGAGCTGAAGATGCTGACCAAGTGGTGCGATTCTTGTGGTTTATGACCTCTGTACAACCTTTTCTGGCATCTCCCATTCGTCCAAGCCTACGACCTTCATAAGCCATACATGCTCCACATGGTATATTTGGGAATTCTGAAACATCTTATGGAATGGCTAGAGAACTTCCTGAAGGAACATGGTCGTTTGGATGAATTCAACACCATATGGACATGCATGCCACGTTACCCTGGATTTACCCCACCGATGAAGTCTTATCAAGCGATCAGTCAATGGCAAGGGAAAGAGATGTGTAATTTTCAGAAAATAATCTTACCAGCCCTTGCGTCTGCACTCAGGAATCCGTCATCTACCCAGGTAGAGCCATTCAAGAAAGCCTTTCAATACGTCCAGGAATTAGTTGAGTAGGCACTAGTCATCCAGCATCGTTCTCATAACGAGCTGACGATACACATGTTGGATAGTTACCTGAAGACTTTCCATAGAACGAAGGATATCTTCAAGAAATATCGTGCGACTAGAGAGACTGACAGACTTGTGGCGGAACAACGGGGGGAATTGCACGGGGAATACGACGTCGAGTTAGTAGGCCTAGAATGCTCTTTAGGCCAAAAACGAAAGGTTATCGTATACCAAAGGCTAAATCTCCAGGCTGAAACCGACGAGATCTTGCGACCAGAATCCCACTTCAACTTCCCTAAAATGTACCTCATGGGCCATTTCACAGAGCACATTCGTCAATACGGCAATATTCCGGACTATTCGACGAAGTCTTATGAGTCAGCCCACAGGGATCAGATCAAATACCGTATCGTCATAGCAATCGCATCGATCCCGCAATGCAGATACTTCGGACATTTAACCGTGATTATAAGTTTTCCATTTGGAAATTAAATCTTCTACAAATTGCCCAGGATGGTTATTCCAACACTGAACTTGTCAGCAATTTCGACGTCTTAGAACCATGTCTGAGGACGAGGATGTAAGCTACAAGATGGGTTCTTTGAGACCCTCAGGAAGACCCGGCATTTCAAGCGCAGGATATTGCGCCATTGGTCTATTTACCAAGTGATACAAGGGTGGAGAAGAGTTGCGTCAAATGCCCGGTCAAATTAACTAATGTCGGTAGTGTAGATATCGCAGGTGCTACAAAAAGATCGGGTTTTACATCCCGGGGTATTTCAGGAGGGAGCTATGTCTTGGATATGAAGATATACCTGAAGATATCGATAGCTGGTGGGTAAACACATTCAAACAGCTCAGTTTACCTATCTTTTTGCACGGCAAGGGCGACGAGAGGACAATTCACACACTTTGTACGATGGAAACATTGGGTTACAGACTGGGAAACGCACGCAACGACTGAGTCTGGTTTGGTGAAACGCACGCAACGACTGAGACTGGTTTGGTCAAAAGCTGACTGACGTCGAGGCTTTGCAGGGTTTATGCCCAGCAAGTCTGCTTGCGGTCTTTAAGCTCAGGGACCCAAGCCGAAGGAGGGCCAGACTTCTGGCTACAATACAACCATTGAAGTCGGACTTCAATGGAAACCCCAATGTTGACCACGGGCTAATAAGGGTATTACGCTGCTCAAGCTCTCCTGACGATATATAGGTAGTAAATATAAAAAGCATTTTAGGCGCCGCTTATTTGGTGCCTGAGACGACATCATCTACGAACAATAGATGGTTTATCAATAGTATGATTGATCTATCGATATACGGATCGATTTCCTGAAGTAATACGGGATGTTGGACTGACCTTTTTATAATGATACTGACGACATGAACACCGGACAAGAGACTTTAGACAGGTGAATTTCTGAGGAGAGATTCTGAGCAGGGGGGATTATTATGAACGGGGAAGACGAACGGGGAAGACAAACGGGAATTAGACAGGAGTCTTTAGACATCTTAAACAGTGGAGATTCGACACACTACATTGTATTCTACATATTAGGTGGAAAGTATTAGACAGGTCCGGGGGTCATTAGAGTTTGTATTTTAGCCGAAGTAATTATTGGACTTGGATTTTGGACAGAAGATTTGTAGTAGTATGATAAGTTATGAGAAAGAGAATTATGTCCGAGTCAAATGATTAGGATTTCTCAATTGAGCTATCTTCGTCTTTTCACGGGTAGTGAAGGTGGGAACATTTGCCATAAAATGAGCGTAGGATAGATTGATTCGAAAGACGAGCTAATGAGGTCGCACGACCGGTTTCGTAATTGGAGCTCTAAATAGACAACATTTTGTGGTCGACTGATAAGCGGCCAAAAATAGAGGAATATACGATGAGATACCAGAGCCAAAAGATGATGTTTTAGGGGCAAAAGACGAATTTGGGCATCTGAGTGCTGGAATTCGTCTTGGGGAAATCCATTTTTTGGTGATCAACGGGGCTTTTAGGAAAGGGAAAATAAGAAAGGAATGGATATGGGTGTCGGTAGCATCCTCAGAGGAGTGGAGAGTGTTTTGGAGGCGCTTACCAGTACGTTTGGAGGCTTTGTTCAAGCTGCGGAATAGGGGAAGTGAGCACGTAGACTATGTATAGTGGAGTTACTCGAGGCAAAGAATCGTGGTATTACTGATAGCTCACATGAGTTCTTGAAGGTTTGTAAGGGGAGGAGGAAGAGGATGTGAGTTGTTAATATTCAGAGTATATTGGGAATGGCCCATTTGTTTGAGGTGGAGACTGATAATTGGTTGATGGATACTAGGATAGACTTTCATATGTGGAATGAATTCAGTTGAAAGCTTGCAAAACTGTAAGGTCATTCGTAAGTGCTCTAGGAATGTTAGACCCAATTGAACTACCTAATTCAAAATTCGTGTCATTCTGCTATATATGCGGATTGGAAGAAGGAGGTAAAGTTTCAGCCGCTCAGTATCTGAGTCTGGCTATCCAGCAAGCTTACTCTAGGAAGGCAATTCCAGTCCATGTTTGCTGCTTATGCATGGACATTGAGCTTTTCACAAGAGACGTACCATTGACTCGACCTGAAGGCTAATAGTATCTTTCACGAATCAACAGAAACATACACCTCCATCAAAGGTATGCTAGTCATCACCACTATACAAGACAGTGCTCGTATCAGTATCCCGCGACTGACCGTACAGCGGCGTTGAGGATACCCAAGTTAGATATCATTTGAAGGACTAATGCCTTCCTATTCTTTGATGACGGCATATCAATACAAAGGGGGCAAAGTGAGGGTTGCCTCACTTTGAGTGGGTATGATGAATGCTTCAGCTCTGATAACGGTACCTACAAATGCAGCCCCCAAACACTCTCGCTCCAGAGTCAGGCGGCTATCTACCACCCTTCGAGCCACATCCTGTCCCCCCAAGGTCATGGACTGTGGCGCCTCCCGCTATCCCTGTCATTCGCCAGATTAATCTCGACAAGCCAATCGGGTTCCTCACAGCTCCAGAGTGGTATCAGTATCACAATAATCTTTGCAGCACTGTCCGACAGTACACACATTTAAAGCAGATATGCGTACACAACATATTTAGCCCCTCGGTCACTTAGTTACTGTCCAGCTGTCCAGCAGACGTATGTAGAGCGCCCAGGTTTCTCTCATGTCTAGATCCCTCGTGCATATGGGTCCTATCTCCTATATCTACCACTTTCCCAGTCTGAGTAGAGTAGCCTGTAGTGGTGGGCGCATGGGGCAAGCATTGGGGAGACTGTGACGGTATGGTTCTGGAAATCTCCAGTTGGACACGCTTTGCTGCTGAGAGTGTTTTGGTTTCCCCGCGTGGGAAGCGGAATGAATGAGCGCCTGAACCCAAAAACCTTCAACAGCTGAATCAGTTCAGCTGTTTGCTAGTAAGGGCAAAAATACCATTACATTCCGCACATTCGAAATCAACTTCGATCAGCAAGGCTGGACATAACCATCTATGCGCACAAGCAGGGAGAGTATCCGCATCTGGGAGTACTACGATCTTACTGTCATGTCCTTGGCGGTAACCCGCATAATTTTATCTAGAGGAGAGGGTTAGGTTTGTTGCAGAAATATTTCAAGTTTCAACCAAACATTGTAAACCAACCAGCAGGAGATTTATCCGTTGCCACCTCTCAACTTTGAATCCCATATCTCTCACGAATCCAGTATACCCGGTTCAGAAATGTTTAACAAGACTTTCCGCCAATCCGGCGGCCAAGTCGAGCGTGTACGAATATCGGGTATATTTTTGAGGGGACTTTAAAAGACCGGTTTCGAGGCATTATCTCTGCGCATTGCATATATATAAAGACACGAAAACGTGAAAACTGAATATCCGATTTGTATTATCTTCACAGGCCGTCTATCATGTTGAGTTGCGTGATATTCCATGTTTTCGAACGATCCTCCGCCGGAGCAATGATAGTGTATATATGGGGAACGGTATTGATCTTTTAATACACAGCATAATAAAAGCGTCCCTCAAATTCTTGTCCTAAAATTCCACATTGTAGGCGGAAGTTCCCTAACCCACCACATCAATGATCATGAATGCCTCAGTAACTCCTTTTTTCAAATCTTAGAGACATCGGAACAAATATCGCTCACCGTTTTTTTTTTTTTTTTTTTTTCGCTCCTCGAACTTCATACCAAGTGGTAAACGTAAATCTGTCAAATTTATTGCACCATCTCCAGTGAAAACATTATCCCGGCGTCGCAAAACACCAAGCGAAGCGGTACACAGAGCATCACTCGGCCTCAATAATTTCACACTCCCCAAAACTACATTTAGCATGTGTAACCTTTGATCTACCATGTACAACAGGCCACCAACAGTCCCAATATCATTGACGCCCAGGCAGGAAAACACTGAGCATCCGATATCAAGACAAAAACACCTCCCCCCCCTCTGCCATCTCGTCGAAGAACCTGACAACCGGCGTACGTAGTGATGAGCAGAAGCCGGGACGCCCCACCTCACAGCATGGGACTAACAAAGACATGACTCGATAGGAGGCAGTATCAACCAAGGAAAACCCACAAGCTGTTGCCCCTACACGTGTTGAAAAATCGAGTGATCCCGTATGTTCCGATAGCAAGAGTTTTCTTTTTTCTTTCTTTGTTTAATTCATTAATCGTATGCAGACCATAGTCTATGACGATATCGCACTACTCCAGAACCAGCCTACATCCACCGCCACTTATAAATAAAAATAAAAGAAAATAAAAAAAGTAACTTGCAAGAGTTTTTCACATCAAAAGCTTACAACATACTAACTAGATCCGCCCCCTTGGTGGTCTCGAAAGGCACTACCCAATTATTTTAGACAGAATTGTGACTTTCATTAACTCCATTATGACTTGAAAATACAATATATTACTGATTTCTTTGCAAATCCACATTCTCCCCGCTGTTGGCGTAAAATACAAGCTCGCTCCAAATCTCGCCCTGTTCAGAGCGTGTCAGTCCCTCAGCTGACGGCTAAACTATTTTTGACATTGTTCCATCCATCTATCCCTATATTTATCCTAACCTTCATAAAATGCGAGATAGTTCTTAACCGAAAACCCGCCAGCTCACCACCAGGCACCAAACCAGAAGCCTACACAAGGAAATTAAGACAGGCCCCACTAGCACATCCCCCAGTACTCACAACATCAAACAATATCCCTCACACCTCACACCGCACCCAACCCCAAAACCCAAAAGTTCCACATCCCGCCGCAACCCGTTAAACGAGTGATAGCCCATGACGCCCATTCGCACATCAATCATAGTCATAATAACGCCTTCGAGCTGACTCTTTCCCTCTTATCGATCATATCAGAGGGCCATAACCATTCCTGGAGGTACGAAGTCTATTCCAAGATGCATTAAACAGCGCAGCGTGGTGATAGCGGGGGGTATTACGATAAGACAGACCTATTCCATAGCTGTTATGTATCACCTATGCTGTACCTTTTCTGCAAACGGCATCTCGTCTGCTCATGTCCCCGTATCGGGATGGTCAGTGTTCGGCTACCCATGTGAAAGGGGCGGTGGTGCTCTTCTCCTGGCGAGAGATGATGGAATCAATGACCGTAGCTCTGGAGATTGTTTGTCAGGATCGGCCACTAGCTCTATCGCCTATCTATGCATGGACATATTAAGCTGTCTATTTTGAGGCATCGACGCTTGCTGCGGTCTTTGGCCGATTTATTCCACGTGCAGCCGTGCTTAACCGTTTCTTTGCATGGAAGGAGGGGAGGAGGGGAGGATGAAGGGGGTGGTGTTGGGCAAAAGGAAACAGGAAATCAGGAAACGCAGACAGCTCTAGGCCATCTAAAGTAGATCTACCTGACAAGACCCGTTGCTGTGCACATGTAGAGTAGCTATGTTGCCATGTGGTCCCTGTGTGTCCCTTTGCGGTCAGCAGCCAAACCTTCTTTCAACCACAACCCGATCACTCGATCAACCCAACTCCTCCGAACCCTCCCCCCTCCTCCCTCCTCCCTCCTCCCTCCACCTGCCCTCCACAGCTTCAACTGCAAGAGATAATCCCCAGCGCTTGTTGCACCATCCATCTCACGGCCCTGATTGGCCCACAGCCAGAATTAAAAACTTCCCACTCTCAATGATTGACACTAGAATAAACACCCCAAAACATCATGATGACCCTGTAGATTTCCAAACCGTCGATAATTAACAGCGCCCACGCACTTTCCCCATTCGCAGCCAATGCTCCGGTCCCAGCTTCCATCCCGCCCAAAGAGGACGGCGCATGGGAGGTATCCAACTATCAGCACCTTCATTATCACAAACCTCGGCTCTCCCGCGCCAACACCGCCACATTCCCCACCCACCGCCCGCCAGCTTGAAACTCGGCACACGACCAGACCAGACGAGCCTCTCCACGGCGCACATACCGGATGTAGAATGTCATCAACATATCTGCAGGGCTATGAACAATGCACCGATAAGGTGCCACGGGCAAGAAGGCGAGGGGGCCCACAGGACCGGTTACTTGGCATGTACCAAAATACCCTGATTTGCTCGCTATACATAGTTATAATCTCCTAGGGCGAGTTTAAATCGACCGCGCCAGATCGCTCACCGTAACGGCCAGCGCCGAGTCCCGCGACCTGATCCGTGTCGATGATCTACAGGCACGCCCTAGTTCCCTGCCACTACTGTAGATGTGCTGTGGGTTAGGGTTCGTGATCTGAGACGGAGATTATTGGGAAAAAGAAATATGTAATATTGCATGTCCACATCGCAGCGCATATGATAGTAATCATCGCGAAGACGACACGGCCACACATACCCAACGTCCATCGGCAGAGAGAGAGTGAAGGTCTGCACAGCTTCCGTTCGTGGGTCCGCCTGTGCTCTCCCCTGCGGCACAGCTGTCAGTCAGCGCCTTCACTCCATCTAGCATCTCACTTGCGGTGCTGCTATTCGCTGAAGCTTAGCAACGACCTACTCGATTGGCGATCCGGCACTCGACCCTGTTCCTTGCCCAGAGACGATCAGCGCTTGAAACGATTGCGCCCGTCACGAGAGCCTGTCACAGCTGGATGACGGTGATGGTGATGGTGATGGAAGAGTAATCCTGGCCATCATCATTTATCCCGTGGCCGACAGCCGAGAGCATAGAACACCGTTACGTCTCGACAACAGACTTGCCCGCCCAAGGAGGTCCCCGCCTGGCCACGGCGAACAGAGGCAGACAGGTTGTTCCCTTTTGGTCCCAAAGCAGTGAAACCCCCCCCCCCCCCCGAGGGCCCGGCAGACAGACATGCGCACGTAAAGAACGTCCATCCGACTCCCGACTCCCGACTCCCGAGACACACCCATAACGTCACCGGCAGCATCCGGGCCTGCGCTCGAGTGTCTGTTTTGTCTGCTGGCCCAGTGCTTGCTATATGACCCTGCGCATATGGGTGGGACTGACCTTCCTCCGTTCTTCTACCCCGCAATCAGGAAAAAGAAGGTGCCCGGCCGTTGGCGCGTGCTTCAGGAGCGCCATCTGGGCCGTGGGGTACTGATAAGGTTTCTCGAGGAGGGTGTGCTGCACCTTCTGCTTATAGCAGATTCTGCCCTCTCCCCCTGGGCGCGCCTGCCTGCCTGCCTGCCTGCCTGCCTGCCCTGCGCTGCTCGTGAATCGGATCTTCGATCGTGCAGAAACGCCGTGAAACAGCGAGGGAAAACGGAAGCTTCTCAGCAGCAAGCCTCTTTCGAAAGCCACACGGCGCCCCGACATGTGGTTTCTGTGGGCACAGCAGGGATGCCCCGTGGGTGTTGACAACCGACCGCATATGCCAAAAGCCTGCCTCTTTCCGAAACGACGATAGCGGTTGGGGGCGCGCCGCTGTGATTGGGCCACACGATACGCCAGTTCGATGTCCTATTGGCCCTGGTAAAGTCAAAATACCTGTCGCGAGTTTCCCCTGGAGCTACGTTTAATGCGGGTAAGCCGGTGGCAGAGGCAATTTCAAAGTCTTGGTTAGCGCAGTGGCTTGACTGGAAACGTACTACTTCCTCTGTTTTTCTACAGAACGGTGCCAGTGATCACCGCGAGTGCTGGGATTGCATTGCGAATTTGGAAACTCTGCCGAACAGAGAGTCTATGCAGAGTGGCTAGGGAGCTCTACCCCATCTCCCCGCTCCCTCTGCTTTCCCATGACGGACTGCCATCATCTCTGCGGTTTATTCCGCCTGCCTAAAATGGCCATGGTGAATGTTTACAGCGATGGAGCAGGAGCTTGGCCGTAAGGCTCAGTTACAGTAGGGGGCAAGAAGGAGCTGTGCGGAAAAAAATTGAAGATTTGCAATCTCACGAACAATCATCACCTCGGAACGCTCCGCAGAGCTCCCTTCTCGATACCTTCCAGCTTGAGAGCCATTCTACCGCCATCCCCACGACAATTCTCGTGATCGAATTGCGACTGAATTCAAGGCTTCGTTCGATATAAATACCGAGATATCCGCCCTCCCCCCCGGAAGAGCAATCTCCTTTCCCCCATCAGCCTTCGTCTCCAACAAACCATCTCTCTGACAGCAGCTTCTTCTGGCCTTTGATCTATTCGGTATTCCATCCTTCACAATGCAGCTTTTCACGAACCTCGCCCTTGCGGCCCTCGCGATCCTCCCCGTCTTTGGCAGCCCCGTCCCCTCGGCGCCCAAGGCTGGCGACATTGTCCCAGACTCGTACATTGTCGTCCTCAACGAGGGTGTCTCTGATGCCGCCTTCCAGGCCCACACCAGCTGGGCTTCGAGCGTCAACGCTGCGTCCATGAAGAAGCGTGGACTCGAGCCCCGCGCCGAGACCTTTGACTACACCTACACTCTGGGAAGCTTGAAGGGCTACGCCGGCACCTTTGACAAGGAGACCATCGACCAGATTGCCACCCGCTCCGAGGTGGCCTACATCGAGCCCAACGCGGTCGTCGTTGCCAGTGCCATTGTAAGTTCCCGATATCAATCCTGAATATATATATATAAATATCTGACCAGTGGCTAATCCGGCAAACAGACCACCCAGTCCCCCATCTCCTCGTGGGGTCTTGGCTCCGTCTCGCACAAGTCCGGCACCGGCTCCAACTACATCTACGACAGCAGCGCAGGCTCCGGCGTCTATGCCTACGTCGTCGACACCGGTGTCCTGACCACCCACAACGACTTTGGCGGCCGCGCCGTCTGGGGCTACAACGCCGTCTCGGGATCCAGCAACACCGACGCCAATGGCCACGGAACCCACGTCGCTGGAACCATCGCCGGCACCACATACGGGATCGCAAAGAAGGCCACCATCATTGCCGTCAAGGTCCTCGGAGACGATGGCTCCGGCACCAACGCCGGTGTCATTGCCGGCATCAACTGGGTCACCTCCAACGCCCAGAGCAACGGAAGAACCACAAAGTCCGGTAAGTATACCCGTCCGTATGGAAATCGACGTACATGGTACTGACAGTGACATTGACCAGTCGCAAACATGAGTCTCGGAGGCTCCTACTCCGCCGCCCTCAACAGCGCCGTCAACAACGCCGTCGCCGCAGGAATCACCTTTGCCGTCGCCGCCGGGAACGACAACGCCAACGCCGCAAACTACTCTCCCGCGTCCGCCGCCAGCGCCCTGACCGTCGGCGCCATCACCTCATCCCTCGTCCGCGCCTCGTACAGCAACTACGGCTCTGCCCTCGACATCTTCGCCCCCGGCTCCAGCATCACCTCCACCTGGATCGGCAGCAACTCCGCCACCAACACCATCTCGGGCACCTCCATGGCCTCTCCCCACGTTGCCGGTGTTGCCGCATACCTGATTGGCCTCGAGGGCCTGTCCACCCCCGCCGCCGTCCGTTCCCGCATTCTGGCCCTCGCAGGATCCGGACTCGTCAGTAGCCCCGGCTCGGGCAGCCCCAACTACCTCCTCTACAACGGAAACGGTGCGTAAATGAACTCCCCCAAGCTACCGGATCCGGATGGACGACCTTCCCCCATGGCCCAGGACTTTCCTCTCCTTCTCTTCCTTCTCCTCCTTCCTTCCTTTTCGCTTCTTGTCTCTGTGTGTTTTTTGGGTGGTGGTTGATCTGGCTGGACCTGGACTTACTGGGATGTTTTTTCTTCTGGCGGGGTAGATGCGGGAAAGGCAGAGAGCGGGTCATGTATTCTGTGCTCCGACACGCTGGGAGGACTCGGGCTGTGGTAGATGCGTGGTGGCGGTGGCGGTGGTGTGGCTGAAAATAAAAATGTCTCTTCTACATACAAGTACATACCTAGCTGCTGTGGATGGTGCGAGTGATTGTGTATGATGCGATGCGGTGATGCGGTGATGCGGCGATGCGGCGTGACGTGACTGGTTGCGGTGAATGTGATGCGGCGATGCGGCGTGACGTGACTGGTTGCGGTGATGTGATGACTGTGTCTTGCAAGGGCTTGGGCTGGCTGTGCGTGTGTTGCAGTGTGCTAGCTGGTACCCGTGGAACGCTGTGTGTGTGTACATGTATGTAATTTCATCAATGCGATATCTGTAATCAGGAGAGTACATATAATTTCCCACGACAAGAAATACATCTTTGGCGTGATCAAGAGCGTATGGTAAGCCACGCGTCAGCTGCAGCCGCCTTCGCACACAGCTTGGAGACTCTGCAATCGACTCACCCGCACCTTACACGCCGTCTCTCTCCCTCTCGAGCCCGCAGAGCTATATACGAGCCACACATATATGCATTACACACCGCCACGGAAGGCCTACAACCACTAGTAGCCTATATGGCCTACATTACCGGCAAAATGGGTATTTTTATAAGCCTCCGGTTATGATTTACTCCCAGATAAGGCTTAATTAAGCGCTTGTTTACCAAAAACGGTGGTTTTAGCGTTAATTTGGTATAAAACTGTATTCTGGGTAAGGGTTGATGCAAAATAAGGCACATATATGGCTTATTTTATGAGTAACCATTAAACTTAGATAATTATTACCAAATAGTTTAAGCCTTTATACTGGATCTCCCTTATCCATCAAATAAGCCTTTTAAAAGGCTTTTCGGTGGATAAGGTTTATATAAGGCTTATATAAGGCTTAAAATTCGCATTATCCTGGCCATATATTACTTCCAGCACCGGGGTTTCAGTTCTCCTATGGCTCAGTGGGTAGCATGAGGTATATGCTACCTGCCAGGCTCTGGGTTCAACCCCCCCCCCCCCCCCCGGGGCCTTTTTCTTTTTGTCTTTATTTAAAAATAATCCTTCAAAATTGACATAAGCCTTATAGTCATTATAATCCTTAATAACCCTTAACATCCGAAAAAGCCTTAAAATCCGAAATAACCATTATTTGAGATAATGATTATTGGTCCGAGTTCATTACTGTAGACGTAAAATTTGACTAAGCATTACGCTACCCAAAACGGTGATTTTATCATTATTTGAGCCTTACCTAACGCTTATCTTTTTCCCCTTTTTGCCGGTAAAGTAGCTGGCCATATTCAATTGGGACGACCACACATACAGCCCCAACCGACAACCTCAAACCCACGACATGCTAGCTATCCTGATTCGTTCCCTGACTAAAACTATAGACCCGACTCAAACACGTCCAGAGAGTTTCCAGGACCTGCGCGTATGCAGACGCCCGCGCCCAGACCGCCTCGCGCAGGTCTTCTTGTCCAGGGTTAGGGTTTCTTTAATTCGAGGAAGTCGACTACACACTAAAAGTACATGGCGGATTATGCTATGCGTACATGTATATATGCCAGCCATGTCAAAGGGTCGGCAAAGCAGCTTCCTCGGATATCCCGATACGAGTAGCGCGGCACGAAACTTCAAAAATAAAGATATGGCTGTTCTGGTACGAGGCCTGATGATCCAAGAGCTAGCGATATTATGATAGAGATGAAGCGTTCTGGCCAACCATGGTGTGGCAATTTGGCAGGATCAGAGCGCCAAGCAAACCCATAAACACCTGCTGTCGTGAGTCCAAACTTACACGTCTCTGTTATAGTGGAGAGGATAGGTGGAGGCCGATAAGCTCAATCTATCAATATATATGTATGTGCTCTGCGCATTGCTGTTCATAGCTCTTGTGATAGCTACCGATCTGGACTCGACACCTTCACCTTTACATGAATCCACACACGCATGCCAATCCACTAGAGATAATGCCTCCCACCAAATTCAAGGACGGCCCTATCAGATCCCCTTCCACTTCCCCTCTCTCACCACAACCTCGCTCTCAGCATTCCAGCAAACACAATATCCCCACCCCGACAGCATCTCCCGGCAAACCCTTCCCGCCCAACTGCCTAGCCCTACCTACTATCACATCCCTTCTCAGAGCAGCTCCAACCTCCCTCTCGGAAGTTCTCACCAGCAGCATAACGCCCAGACACCGCCACACACATACCACAACCAACTCGTGGCTATCTCGGCCGGCGAATTTTTTCATTTCTCTCCTTCCACGCAGGGAGCATCCATACACGGATATCTCCCCCCGTTTCCGGCTGCGGTCGGCGTTGCAGCGGGGGTCTTGGCGATGCCGTGGTGGTGATGTTCTAGGATATATGGGTCTTGGCAAGGCAGGACCTGCTGCTGCCAGGGTTCTGGATATCGGTGGGGTGAAGTGTGCTGGAGCCGGTGGACATCTGGAGAGGGGAGATAGGCGAGTAGGTGGAGGGTGAGAGGGGGCGGTTGGGTCATGGGTTATCACTCGGTCGAGGGCTGCACCGGGAGTGATTGGGGAAGGACCTTTTGAGTTTGGCGTAG